CCCAACCCATAAAGTGGGCAAGAAGAGGCTGCCAGGAGGTAAAGATGAAAGATTTTGCTGTCCTACCAAATCTCCTGCTGTTGTTTCTCACATGAGGAGGGACTTTAGAGAGGGGATGGATGCACTGAAATGATGTATTTATGGGGAGGCTCATTTCAGCCGTGTTCCCAGTGGAGCCAGCGAGCGCAGCTGCCATCGCTGTGGGGTAACTGATCATCTCTGCCGAGCGGCTGCCATTAATTAAAACCAGAGACGTTCCGGTACACAAACATTTCCTCTGTTTGACCATGAATGGCTAACCCGAAGCCTAGGTTATCCCTACAAGGAGAGCTTTCCCCTACAGCACCTCTCATCCGAGGATCTCAAAACATTTCACGCGCATCAGTGATGCCTTAAAGCACTTGTGCAGACGATGGAAATAACGTCGCTGTTTTCTAGGTGGTTAATGACCAGCAGCAGCACAAGAACCAGCAGCTTCCCCGAGGTCACAGCACGTCAGCGGTGATGCTGTGCGAGAAGCCAGGACTCCTGACCTCCCCCAGTTCACATAATCTCTCTCTTCAGCGCCGCTGCTGAGTGCTGCCTCGACAGGCGTCTCCAGCATCAAAACCCCCGTAAATCTCTTCTGGATTTTATTAGCTATCTCGCTCTAAGCCTGCCTGGGGTGCTTATCAACAGCACCAGTGCTTTTGGGATGAATGGCCTGAGAGTCCCCACCGGCACGCGATGTGAAGGAAGATCAATCCATACACTTGAGTGGGGAGCTATACCCTCTGCTCCCGCGAGGCACAGCGGGTGCAGGCGGCTGCTGCAGGCTCCCCGAGTCGTCCTGCGTGGGCTGCCCAGCGGTTGCAGGCGGCTGCTGCAGGCTCCCCGTGTCGTCCTGCTGCCGCTCCTTCATCTGCCCACTGCCCAGGGGCAGAAAGCTGCTTTCAAAATGTGCTGGCTGGAGGTAACTTGGGCTCCAGCTGATTTTATAATAATGCTATTGCTGCAAGCTATTCCCTTCTAAGGTGTTAAATGAAAAAGGAAAAAAAAAACTTTTACAAAGAAAAAGCAGAAACTCAATTTCAGTCGGTGGGGTTACTGGGGTTTGGAGTGGTGTAACGCTGGGAGCCGGCAGCAGCCCACGCGCCCCAAAGGGAGGATGCTGCAGGAGCTGGGCGCAGGAGCTGGTTCGGCCGCGCACAGTGTGTCTGGTGGGACGGGCACGTCCCTGGAGGTTTAGGTGTCCTCACTCTATGTGTGCCTTCAAGAGTGCTGCTGTCTCTCCCCTTTTAGCATCACTGCATTGCAGTTAATTTACCTTCTCCATCCTTCCACGTTTTTGAAAGATAAGTTCAATATAGCCTGAGAAGTAATTGCCTTGCAGTGCCTTTTCCTGGGAGGCTTCTTGCGAGAGCCAGCTTTGTGGTTCTCAAATGTCAAGCTGATATTTAAAAAAAGTAAAAGGTTTGAAGTGTTGTGAATGCGATGGATGTCCCTGGTGAGGTTTGCAGGAGCGCATATATGAAGCAGTAACTGTCTCCAGAAGGCTGTGTTTATGGACACACCGCATTTAGCTTCAGGAATCTCCCTTGCTTTGTTTGGATGAAATCATGTTTGGTTTTAGTTAAGAATTCAGGAGCTGAATTCAAGATCCTAACGGGAATGCACAAGGCTAATGATATCTCAGAGAGACATTGGCTTAACAAGCTGAAACTAACTTGGCAGATTTTATTTCTCCAGCATTAGCACTGCTTTAGTTCTAGAATTGTATCCTAATGTGGATGGATGGTTTGACTTTGCAGAAACTTATTTACTCCTTTCCCTCCAGATATCTTGATGGAGGGCTTTGGGTGGGATCTTCCGCAATACTGACGTTCAGCCTTTAATAAGTTCAGTGAATGCTTCTTAACTCTTCACCTCGTTTCTCACTGTAGAAGCATTCCTAGTGTTTACAAAAAATGTTTTGTTTAAAAGTTAAACTGAGAGAACCAGAAAACTAGAGCCCTAATGCACCAATTCTGCAGAATTCATTTCCCCCTTTCCTCTTTTAATTGCCCCCTTTTTTTGGGAGAGGAAAAAAGGAAAATGTTGCAGCAATTTTTCTTTGGTATATCCCATTAGGAATCTTTTCTTTGGGGACAGCTGGGCTCTAGTTGTGACCACAGATGACAAAGCTCGGTTGTGACTGAGCCAGGATGAAGTCAGTCTCCCCCAAAGGTGACAGACAGCACACGAGAAACCGTGCGGGCAGAAAGCTGCATTCCTGAGCAGAAACATTAATCATTTATATAACTTTTAATATCTCTTCTATTTAGGGTTTTGATGTACCTCAATAACTTCTTTCACTGCTGGGTGTCTGACAGCAGCTCGTTGCACCCCAGAGGTCTGGCCGAGCGGGCCGGCAGCGAGCTCCTTCCCCTGCTGCCACGGACCAGAACCTGCACCACCCAAACCCGCTGGAGACTTCGCTACCAACTGACGCACCCTTCCTCTCTGCTACGGTTTAAACACATTTCCAAACAAGGGCAAACCAGCTTGTATAATGATAATAGCAATAACTTAAAGGGTACTTATATCCTGTGAAGCTGCCGCTACAATTTTGAAGACAGAGCAATGTCTTTCTTGTCAGCCAGAGCACTTAACTCCACGTCTCTCCAATTCCCCAGAGAAACTGGACACTAACAGTCACAACCAGTGTTATAAGGCAAAAGAAAAAACCTCAGCTGGGCTAAAGTGCAATTAGTCACCAGTTCTGGGTGTTCCTGGGGGTGCTGGCAGTGAGGACGCTGTGCAAAATGACGGGAATAAAGTTATTCTGGGTTCGACATAAAAAGAAAAGTGGGACAGTCAGCACTTGGAAGCAGGATTTCTTCTTCACAAGAGACTTTTCCCCTTCAGATGTTGTAGTAACATTATACTTTAAATATATTAATTGCTATTAAATATTTAGATTGTGCCCTGATTGTGTGCAACCACTATGTTTTAAAGCCTAAAAATAAAAAGCACATTTTCTTCCCAAAACCTCAGGCTGGAAGGTTGCTGCTGCCACCAGAGGGACTCAGAAATACGACGGGAAGAGCCGAACGTCCCCGAACCAGCCAAACCTCCCGGCGAAGAGTCTGACTTTGTGGGGCTGCCCGGAGGGTTCCTCAGGTGCTGCGTTATCCTCTCCCATGGCCTGAGGGCTGGGGTCGGAGATGAGGTTTACGTGCCTTCTCCTCTCACCATGCTGATGGGGGAACAGATGATGAACTTCATCATCCTGCCCGTCCTCCTCGGTTAATGCCACCGGGCAGCAAGGCACACATTTTGTACTGTGAAGGTACAAAGTGCTCGTAAGATCCCCTCTATTTCACCAGCTTTCCTGGTATAATCACACGCTAAGCACCAAAAATGACTGCTAAAATAGGAGTTAAAACGTTAATGATTTGCTTGCACTCACCATTAAATTGTAACGTGGGGCTTTGGAGCATTTTGCCCAGAGAAGCTGTGGATGCCCCATCCCTGGAGGGGTTCAAGGCCAGGCTGGATGAGGCTTTGGGCAACCTGGGCTGGTGGGAGGTGTCCCTGACCATGGCAGGGGGGTGGGACTCAGTGATCTTTAAGGTCCCTTCCAACCCAAACCAGTCTGTGATTCTATGATTTATTGCAAATTTGGCTTTAAAAAGTCAGGAGAAAGATGATAAAAAATGTGGGATTGAAGGTAAAGCCTTTAAAAATTCAATGAGGTTCAAACGGATTCTCCTGTGTCTGGGGAAAACAACCATTCTCACTTGTCCTACAAGTAACCAGCATTTTCTCCTTTCAAGTGAGAGCTGGAAAAAAATTGCCATTGCTGCAGTAGAGACTACCTTAGATGAAAGGAAGGAAAGAGCACTCAGGATGAAACTGCATTTCTTTCACAGTCTGGGGTCGTTAGTTTTGGTTTTGTGTTGGGTTTTTGGGGTTTTTTTTTTGTCATGAAACCCTAAACCCTAAGGGATGTTGGAAAAGATTTTCTAGTGATTAAACCATTTTCTTTCTTGTAAAGCATGTATGGAGTTGTGCGGTGACAACCTCTGGCCCAGCAAGAAATATACTCTTGCCTTCCCTAAAATTACCATTTCGCTGAAGAACTCCCTGTGTCACTGAACCTGCAGCAAAATTTCATTTATAATTAAAAAAAAAAAAAAACCCACATTAAAACCTACAGGATTACAATGATTTCGGTATGATAACTGATCCCAGGGTACACATTGCTTGCCTTCTTGGAATGTAGGAGAATAGCCAAAGTGAAATTGTTTTCAAGTCACCGCGGTGTGCTCAGCTCCAGCCCCACTCGCTGCCCTGCTGCTGTTTCAGCTCTGGCCTGAGATGCTTTGGGTTTACCATAAGTGACAAGATACGCAGAATTTGTGAGGTCCTATCAGCCTGATTCTGGTTATGTGTCGATGCCAATTTTCATACCCTTTTGCGGCCGCTCTGGGGTTTAATCTCCTGATGCTGGGAGTCCTGACTCATCCCTTGGTGCTGAGGACAGGCAATGCCTCTCCCTCACACAGAAAATAGCCTGAGCTGCTTTATAGGAGTTTTTCATGGCCTGCACACAGGGAGATGTGCTTATGAATACTGAGATGCTACCCAACCCAAAGCAACCTCCCCAAAACACTCGGGGCCCGCCACAGGCAAAGCTGTCCCTGAAGGTGGAACTTGTGTCAGCCCCGGGCAGGGCTCTGCGCTATGGACAGGCGGCAGCAACCCCCTCCCAGAGCTAACCACCTGAACAATTTGGTTTTGTTGTTAAGAGAAGATACACAAAGACTGTCTGCTCATCTCTAGAACACCAGCACCCCCAGAAGAGTCACGGCTCGCCCCATTACAGACACGAGGAACTCTGGTGAAACATCGCTCCTGCGGGATATTTATGAAGTGGGTCGAACCTACTGACTTTTGGCGGTTTAACTGGTCTGATAGGACAATTAAAGGGATGTTGTTAATGGAATTAATCTTTTGAATTCAGCTCTGGTCCCCAGGAGGACGAGAGGCTCCCGAGGAGTCGTGTTTGCGAAGGTCTGCACCGTGTCGCGCTTGCTGGCGCTGCTGCAGAGCCGTCGTTCATCACGCACGGCATCTCCTGACTGCGGGCCAGTTCTGCCCGTTAAACAGGCTCCTCTGCCCCAGCGACGTGCTTCGTGGGTGTCATCAGATTTACTGGTTCCGTTGGAGAGTAACCTTGTATGGGTTTATCAGAGCCTGACGGGAGAGAGGAGCAGCGCTGGGATGGGCTGAAGCACACGCTGGTTGAAAAACCTGATGAGTGGTGAATATCCAATATTTCCCCTTTCATCTGGATGCTCTCCGTCAACCCTTTGATGGTTAATGCTCGGACAATGTGGCACAGAAAGCACATCCCCTGCGCCCCGTTTGTGACGCTGAGCAGAGGAGCAGAATTCCTTCTGGGGACTGATGGGACGTCTTGGGAAGCATACCTCAAATCAAACCCTGCTGTTTGCTTATCCCCACATTAGGTTACAAGTGTAGATCTGCTCTGCATTTTCAACCCCTTTTTTCTAGGCATGGCTCCTTTTCAGCTTCCCCTCCATATTAATAACTATGTTTTTAGACTGCTTGGCTTTAGATGTTTTAATGTTTTGAAGTGTATTCCCTAATACTTTTTTTGATACCTATACAGCTCTTCCATCATCTGCTTCCCCTTACATACCTGCTAATAGGTACACACTGTGCCCTGCAACTATTTCATACGTGTTAATCATCCATCCCATAGCAGCCTTGTAACGCTGTGATGGGTCAGTTGCCTTCGAAGGACCTTCTCCTCAGGCCATGGAATGGAAATCAAGACCCATCAGCACTGGGTCAGGTCAGGATCCAGACCAGGGTGGGTTTTAGTTTCTATAGCCATAAGGAACTTTTTTTTTTTCTTTTTTTCTGAGAGGTGGGCAAACGGCACGTGCAGCACCTGGAAGGGATGGAGCCATGCTTGGCTCTGCCAGGATGTCTGTCTGTCCGCACCGTTACACTCCCCGAGAGCCCAACAGCCCAGCGCACCTCGCAGATGACGCACGTTCTCCAGCCTTCCCACACCGCCCCTGGAGTGACGGCTTATCTTTGTTATTCTTACAGGGGAGTGACTTCCAGCCTCGGAAATGGGAAGCAAAGGAAAAGGAACAATGACTTCAGAATTCATAATTAAAAAAATGAATTAGTTCCTGAAATGTTGTTCCTAACAACTGTGGAAGCCTGCTCTCCCTGCCGGTTCCCAGCGTGAGCTGTGTTACTCCCTCTCTCATAAGGAGATGGGCACCGGTGGGTCTGTCGATACAACCCAGCTTGGTGGTCTGCGCAACACTGGGACATGGCAAAGTGGTCACCAGTGCTTGGAAACAGTCCCGGGGTTAAAACTAATACGAGCAAGGTGAGCCCCTTACTCCCCTCTCCCCAAAAAACACCCCCCCACCAACTCCATCTCTAAGAAGAACGCCTGACTCCCGGCACAGGAACGTGCTTCCCTGCCCTTCATCCGACGTGGGGTTTATTTTCCCGCTGTTAGTGGAGTGCAGAACGTCCAGCGGGTTGCTGTGCTCTCTGCTCCCAGACCCCAGCTGCAGCCTTCAGCACTTTGTGCCTCTGCTTTAGCACAAACCCTAAAGTCTGGCGTGTGACTCGAGAGGATCGCCCAAGGACACGGGAGCCCAGTACCGCGGCAGGGCGGGAGAGGGGCTCCTCTCCAGCAGATGGGGGTCAGAGCATGCCGAAAGAAAGGGGAGATGACTCTTCCTTAAGCACCCACCTGCTGATTCAGGAGTCCCTGGGCATCGCTAGCTGCTGGGAATAGTTTATGCAACTCGTGCCGTGCTTTATCCCCAGAGCCTGTCCCAGAACTGTAAAGAGGAACATTGAACCCAGCTTCATCCCCACGTACGTGAGCTCTGCAGAGGACAGCTGGGAGCGGCAGCCTCTCCCCGGGTAAATACACCCCCGAGCTGGGTGAAGAGACCATGCGAGGGGAAACCTGATGAAAGTCCACTTTTTAAACAGCATTTATTTTATAAACTGAGGTTTTACAATTGTGTAGGTGCTTACAGGCATCTCTAGTATCTGTGGTGAAGGTCTGCTATGAGCCACTGAGTGGGGAGAAAAGGAGCAGAATACACTGAGGCAAAAAGCTTTTGATGAAATGTCATGAATAAATGTGTCCCTTTTATGACAAGTTTCATGATACAGGATTCAGTGATTTTTCTTACAGCCTCAGGTCTCTGAGTGATAGGATTATAAGAAATTTTTCTTTCTTTCCAAGGTAAATTTTTAGTTTTTCAAGGCCTCTTGACTGTTGAGAAAGGGACCAACTTTAAAAAAAAAAATAAGTGGCCAATTCAAATCACCTTAGGTAAAAACCTTAAAAAATTACAAGGTTTTTTTTAGGTAATCCTGTGGTTTCTGACAGCTTACCTTGTGGTTTTTGAATGCTTGAAGTGCTGCTGCAATGAATTTTAAAATAGAAACTTTAAGCCTGATGCAACTGAGTGCACTATAATGTAACAGGAAATAGGAAAAGGGGCTTAAAGGTCTCTTTACACACTCCAGGAACAGATCAACGGTAATATAAAGGGCAAACCCAAGGCTTGCAGATAAATTAAGCAATACCAGGACAATTTCAGACTTTTGCAGATCTGACCCAGCTGTAGCCTGAAGATAACACTGAGAAACCACAGGGGAGAAAGGGGGCAGAGCTGGAGCTGGGTCAAACTCAGCAAAGCATGAAAGAGTTTGTGGCAGAAGTGATCAAAGCATCCACCTCATCTTCTGCACCCAAACTCCTGCAGGATTTGTCCTCAATGTCTGCCAGCTCCCAGCAGGACCCCCCTGACAGCCCTAAGGCAGAGAGAAATTCAGATGCATCTCACAGTACTTGAGTTCACGCAACTTCTTGCCCCTACCTACAGCAACCATCAGAAATGAGTTTTTAGGACCCCTGAGGGCTAAGTGGTCCCAAAGCCCTACCTTGGCCAGATGCTCTGCTGGTCCTGGTGTCTCCGGAGCACCTCCTCTTCCTCACTTGTCCTTCAGTGTGGCCATGCCCAGGGCCTCCGAGCTGTAGTCGTACTGGTTGCTGGAGGACATGGACCGTCCCCAGGAGCACTGCAGGTTGGAGCCCCTCTTGCGAAAGGAGGATGTGAACCTGTAGAAGTTGCGGTGCCTGTTGCGCAGGTACTCCCGGTAGTTTTTGGTGAGCAGGGTGTAGAGGAAGGGGTTGATGCAGCTGTTGCTGTAGGTCAGGCAGGTCACCAGGTAGTTAATGCACTTTTGGGTTTGGGTGGTGAGCTGCAGGGAGCTGCTGTAGAGTCGCACCAGCTGCCAGATCCAGAACGGCAGGAAGCAGGCCCAGAAGACCAGCACGATGCTAAAAATCATGATGAGGACCTTCTGCCGGGGGGATCTCCTGCTCTTCTCCTTGTGGGGGGGGTTCCTCTGGGACTCCAGGTAGGTCCTGGCCAGGCGCGTGTAGAGGAAGCCAATGATGATTCCCGGGGCCATGATGCTGGTGCTGAAGAGCACCGTCAGGTAGGTCCGGTAGGCGTCCACGCTCCAGGTGGGTGCACACATCCTCTTCACCTTGCCCTCCGCCTTTCCCCCCTCGGTCAGGGTGACCATCAGCATCATGGGCAGAGTCAGGAGCAGCGAGACTGACCAGACAGCTCCTGCTGTGACCTTCCGGTAGCCTCTCGACCGCTTCAGGGTGTCCAGGGGCCGAGTGACGGCCAGGTACCGCTCGGTGCACATGAGAGTGAGGGTGAAGATGCTGGCGTGCATGGTGAGCAGGTCCAGGCTGAGCAGGATGCGGCACCCCAGGTCCCCGAAGTACCAGTCCTGG